GCTCCTTCCAAAGGTCTCAGAGCACTTTACGGACACTAACGGAGCCCCACAAACCATCTAGGATATAGGGAAGGATTGCACTGCCTAAGCTAATCAGAAGGTAGGGATGCTGAACAATGATTGACCCACAACTATGCAGTTTTCCAGCAAATTTTTACCCCAGATTATGCAAATCCCTTCCCCCCAACAGGCTATTGCCCTCAACTCCCTGTCCCCAGCCAGTACACAGCCACCTCCACTCCAGACCCTGCCCCACCCAATTCCAGATATTAAAAGGAATTCTTCACCAGGGGAGGAAGTGGGCTGAGCTTTCTGGGATCAGAGCCAGCAGCAGGGAAAACTTGGGGTGACAGGAGTTCAGGTGGCCATGTCTGGATGGGGATTTCTGAGGGCATCAGTCTATCAGGTCAGAGGAGCTGGCTGCAGCCAGCCAGAGTGCAGAGGGTGCACAGCATGAATCAGTACAACTCCCCGGTGTTAACTCCACAACACCCCTGGGGACCAAGGTCGACCTGGTAAGTTATGTGCCCTCAGTGGTTCCTATCGCCAAATATCTACATACTACACAGACCACAGTGAGAGATTATGCCATACACTATCAAAGAAACTGAGGAACCACCTGATCAGCATCCTATACAGCAAACAGGAAAACATCAAAAAAGAGCTCTCCAACCTGGAGACTTTCATAAATAACCAACCCTCCACACAAATGGACTTTACTAAAATAAGACAGGAGATCTACATTACACACTTCATCTCTCTACAAAGGAGAAAGGACCGTAAGTTGTCTAAAATCCTACCTGCCACATGGGGCCACAACAGTGGTACCCCTAACTCACCCAGCAATATTGTCAATTTATCCAGCTACACACTCAACCTGGCAGAAGAGTCTGTCCTATCTCGGGGACTCTCTTTTTGCCCCACCACCCCCACAAATATGATACAGTTCTGCGGTGATCTGGAAGCCTACTTTCGCCGTCTCCAACTCAAAGAATACTTTCAAGATAACACTGAACAGTGCACTGATACACAGATACCCGCCCACCAACAGCACAAGAAGAAGAACTCCACATGGACTCCTCCTGAGGGTAGAAATGACAGTTTGGACCTATACATAGAATGCTTCCGCCGACGTGCACAGGCAGAAATTCTGGAAAAACAACATCGCTTGCCTCATAACCTAAGTTGTGCAGAACGCAATGCCATTCACAGCCTCAGAAACAACCCTGACATTATAATCAAAGAGGCTGATAAAGGAGGTGCTATTGTCATCATGAACAGGTCTGACTACCAAAAGGAGGCTGCCAGACAACTCTCCAATACCAAATTCTACTGGCCATTTTCCTCAGATCCTACTGAGGAATATACTAAGAAACTGCACCATCTACTCAGGACACTCCCTACACTAACACAGGAACAATTCAACATACCCTTAGAGCCCTGACCGGGGTTATTCTATCTACTACCCAAGATCCACAAACCTGGAAACCCTGGACACCCCATCATCTCTGGAATCGGCACTCTCACTGAAGCACTGTCCAGATATGTGGACTCGCTACTCAGACCCTACGCCACCAGCACTCCCAGCTATCTCCGTGACACCACAGATTTCCTGAGAAAACTACAATGCATTGGTGACCTCCCAGAAAACACCATCCTAGCCACCATGGATGTAGAGGCTCTCTACACAAACATCCCACACACAGATGGAATACAAGCTGTCAGGAACAGTATCCCTGATGATGCCACAGCACAACTGGTTGCTGAGCTCTGTGACTTTATCCTCACACACAATTATTTCAAATTTGGTGACAATATACATCTCCAGACCAGTGGCACCGCTATGGGCACCTGCATGACCCCACAATATGCCAACATTTTTATGGCTGACCTGGAACAATGCTTCCTCAGCTCTCGTCCACTCATGCCCCTTCTCTACCTATGCTACATTGATGACATCATCATCTGGACCCATGAGAAGGAGACTCTGGAAGAATTCCACCACGATTTCAACAGTTTCCACCCCACCATGAACCTCAGCCTGAACCAATCTACACGGTAGGTCCACTTCCTAGACACCGCGGTACAAATAAGTGATGGTCACGTTAACACCACCCTATACCAAAAACCCACCGACCGCTATGCCTACCTTCATGCCTCCAGCTTCCTTCCTGGACACACCACACGATCCATCGTCTACAGACAAGCACTGAGATATAACCGCATTTGCTCCAACCCCTCAGACAGAGATCAACACCTACAAGATCTTCACCAAGCATTCTCAAAACTACAATACCCACCCGAGGAAATAAGGAAACAAATCAACAGAGCCAGACATGTACCCAGAAGCCTCCTGCTGCAAGACAAGCCCAATAAAGAAACCAACAGAACTCCACTGGCCACTCCTCAGCTAAAACCTCTCCAACACATCATCAGTGATCTACAACCCATCCCGGACAACGATCCCTCACTTTCACAGGCCTTGGGTTCTCTCCCTAGTTCTTAGTATAGAAACATGCAATAGGAGAGGCAATAGCAGGAGGGCATCACACAGAGCCCAAAAAGATAACTGGCAAGCCATAGGTTCCTGGGAGGTACAGCTTTTCACAGCAACAAGGAGACTGTAACCAACAGAATATTTTGTGCCTATGAACTCCACTTAGCAAAGGAAGAAATCACTCCAAGTTCTCCAGGGTTCCTATTTCCACCTGCTGGCAGAGGAGTCTATCCCCACAGCTCTGGACTGGTACAAGGAGAACAAGTGGGAGGTATTGCAATCCACAGATGTACAAAGGGCCTAATTAGGTCTCCCAATGCAGGATTCATGTGTCATTATATAATGCCTGCATCTGTAAATTTCACTCCATACATCTGAAGAAGCTTACCCACAAAAGCTTATGCCCAAATAAGTCTGTTAGTCTTTAAAGTGCCACCGGACTCCTTGTTGTTTCAATGCAGGATTGTTAGTACGTGTTTTATACATAGAGACACTGCACTTTAAGATAGCATAGTAATCCTCTGGGTATGTTGCAAGAAAACAGTAACATTTTTTACACAGTTTACATACAGGTCACTAAATTACCAAGTGCCACTGGCGTTTCAGCATCTGACCAGCACCATTTAATGGATCTGACAAGTCTAAGATTCATGAATTGAGCAGGTAGTTTTGACTGTGGCAAGCAGAACTCCCAAGAGCTATCAGTTCACTACTGCCACTGAATTTTACATCCCTGTCTGTGGTGCTGAACTTGAAGATCATTACCATGTTGCTAAATTACCAATTAACTCAAGGTAGGCATAGCAGTCGGTGGGTTTTTGGTATAGGGTGGTGTTAACGTGACCATCACTTATTTGTACCGTGGTGTCTAGGAAGTGGACCTCCCGTGTAGATTGGTTCAGGCTGAGGTTTCTCTTCTGGATTCTCTTCTGGTTGCCCCAACAAATGTATAAGCTCAAACAAACTAGAACAGGAACTGTTCAGCATGGCTGTGTCGTCATCACACTCCCTCCAGCTCCAAAACTCTCAGTATCAAAAGTGGAAAGCTCTTGGAGCTATTCACCTAGGAAGGAAGCCCAGTGCTGCACTCATATCCACAGCTTAGCTTCAAACAGGAGATCTCCATGTGGAACACCACTAATTCCTGGACCTTTGAGAAAGTGAAGCCAGGAGAGATGTGGGAGGAGGAGGGGAAACAGCTGTGAAAGGCCCAGTGCACAGGAGCTTTCATCAACTGAGTGCTACGAGGAGCTGCATGCCAAGGCAGAGGTTGCATGGCTGGCCACGGCAGAGGTTGCATGGCTGGCCACGGCAGGCGGGATGATCACCAGGGAGAGTCCACTACCAAGAAGGCTCAAAAAAACCCATCTGCTAGCCAGAGGCCAAAACAAAAGATGAGGGGGTCCCTCCCAACAGCCCCAGCCTGGTGCAGGTGAGACGCCCAGATACACTTCCCCCCCCCCCCCCACTACCATTAGATGCTGGGAAAGGCTGCAGGTGTAGGGAAGGAAAAGGATGCTGTTCATGGGACTTTGCTTCTTTTCTAGGTGCCTCTGGCTTGTAGATACCTAATAAATGTGAATGCCTCCCCCCGCCATCCCATCCTCTGGTTGCTGGAAGTGTCTCTTGACTTCGCCCACAGCTTCCTGACAGACTCCACCCTCCTCTCCTGCGAACATCTCCAGTGTCTGCCTTTCTCACTGCTCAGAGCAGCAGCAAAGGAAAACTGGCAGGGATTCTAATCAGTTTCAAGCAGCCTGCAGGGTCCTGAATAGAAGCAGTTGCACTAAGCAGTGTCTCCTTAACTCACTCTGCAAATGAGCAGAAGCGGGGCGCCTAAGCAGTCTGCAGACTCAGGAAGACTCGCTGCTCTGCTGTCCCATTTAGAAGGTTTCCAGCACCACCACAAATGCCAGGTATATTTTTAAATGAAAATTAAACTCTGCAGCAGTCTAGGCTTTTGACCTCCCTTCTGTTCACCAGGAAAGAGGCTCTGATTTGCCATTAGCCAATGGTATTTGAGTCCCACCTATAGATTTAGGGTGTGGAACTTACCTGCCACGTTGTGTGCTTCCAAACCAACGTCTGGCTCCTGGCGGGCTAGAGGCAAGAAAAAAGTGGGATCCTTCTTACGGCTGCACATGTCATCAGCACCCGAATTCCCTCTCCCATCTCTGTTCATGGCTGCCACGTTGTCGGAAGCATAGAAGGCAGCCTCCTTGAGATCAGTCCCCCCTTCCACTGATGTCCCCGATAAAGCTGCACTCTCCAGAGGCATTTTTGCATCTTTAACAAAAGCAGCTATTCTCTGTTCACCTTGGGGGCACCCAAGGGCAGAAAAATCTTCTTTGTTTGGCTCCAGTGTCATTAACAAGGTTTTGCCTCCATCACACCGATGCGCTCTTTGCTGCTCTGATGAAGAAGAAGAAGAGACAGCTTTCTCCATTCCTCGCAGATTCTGTTGTGTCACTCAGGAAAAACAAACATCAGGACTTCATAGGATTCACAGGCAGCTGTAGCCAGAAAATCTAAAAAGGGAAAAGAAAGTGATGAGGATTTCTCAATTGCAGAAAGTGATGAGCCTTTCCTAGTCACACCTGCTCTCTTTAGGCCCGAGGGCATGACCTGGAGTAACAACAAAAGAATCTTACTGTGCCTTTCAGCCCAACACCTTTACAGTGTCACTACATGACTGGCTTCAAGTGGGGCAAAGCAGCAGCTGTTTCAGCCGTAAAGTGAAAATATTGATACCCAGTTACATCCCATACTGGGATTTAACCAGGACACCTGGGTCCTTGCCCTTAGTGCTATGGGATTCCAGGAGGCAATTGGTCAGGACCTTCGTTTTACATTTCCATACGTAAACACGACACCTCTGGCAGCACAGTGCTTTCTAGAACCATGCTGGAGCGTTTAAGCTTTTACCCCAAGAGCTTGTTGAGCCTAGGAGCATTTCACGGTGATGCAGGAGGGCTGGGGGAGTCAGAAAGAACAATACAGTGTCCAAGGCACCACGTGACCCTTTAGGAGACTGACCTGCTTAGCAAGATTCTGCATCACTCCCTGGCCACAGGGTTAGCATGGAACAAGGACGAGAAAGGCTAACGAGCTTATACAGGTGAGAGGGGCAGTTCAGAACAAGAGGGTGGAAGAAGCTGCCAAATGGCCAATACAGAGACTGGGAAATTGTCGAATATCCGTGCCTTGGGAGCAGTGTATCTTGCTGACACCTTGGTCCCCTCCTTGCTGGAGGAGTCAATGGGGAAAGATACAAGATGTCCGAAGCTACCCACTGGCGACGTATAGACCTTAGTGACATGCCAGCACATGTATGTGTACATAAACATTGGTCTTGAGTCTGTGTGTATCATGAGCTGTTCCGCAGAAAGGCAGGATTATTCCACTGGTCCCTACCATGCAGCATCTCTCCTCATTCACAGGCTAACGCTGCACATTTCCATCACACATTGTTGCTCTTCATTTGCACTATGCTTCCTGTTACTACAGAGCAGCCTGTTATCCTCTGAGCATTTGCTGTCTCCAAGTTCCATGTTTAGTGTTGACCTAACACAAACTCTCCTAAAAAGGTAAAAACACACAACTTTCAATATCCCATATAATTACACGTATCCACCCTCTGTGAAAGGTTCAGGTATTTTCATGGCCTACACACTCTCCCTTTATATCACCAGAGGCTACTAATAGCTGCAGTTACATTTTTTAAATGGCATTTCATGCTGGTGAAAGGTACTACGTTAACAGACTATTTCTCCCCAAGCAGGTACAGCAGCAAAAGTGCCAACGTATCTCCCACTGCCTACCCCCAGGGGTAAGAGGTTTGCTACATGGCAACTTGTTGAGGCCACCAACAAGGAGGCCAACCAGGCTGTAGTTCTGAAAAATGGACACCTACCTAAGCAGGATCTGAACTGAAGCTAGCCACTCACTTCATGAAAGCCAAAAAGAAACAGATTTCGGTTACCACTCTCCTGGGATGCACCTGAGCCAGCCAACTAGAGGCTAAAGACTTCGCACAGCCCCTTACCATCTCCCCAGGGATTTATACTGCTACTCACACTGTGAGTGTGCCTCACAAGCCACAGACACCCTATATGCACACAAGTTTGGGTCTCTTCCCGCCCCCGCATCTCCACCCCTCTGCATGTTGAGGGGTTTGGGGACAGGGGGAGGAGAAAGAGGAGAAGTGCTCAGCTAGTTATTCTTCCTGGGAAGTGGGCTTTATTGTAGGGAAGCAAATGGAGACAAGATTTTGCCCCGAAGGCGATGAAATTTAGGACTGTTCTAGTCTCTCATGGAAGGGAAGTTCCCTAGCTATGGGCCAGCAACTGAGAATGCTCATGTCCCCCGGTTCCCATGAGCAACACCTGTCCTGCTGACAGTTCTACTGTTCCTGAGGGCCACAGCTTCATGGTAGGTCCTGACTGCAGAGACAGCTCCAGCCCATTGAGGGCTTTGGGACCTTGAACTTGTTCTAGTATCTCGGCTCTCCGAGCTCTGGTCAAGTGTAGGTAGTCTCTTGGTCTATCCAAGGCCGTGATCAAGTGTCTTGATGTTTTTGGTCTTTTGGCCTCGAGATGAAAACCTTGCCTTTGTTTCTGGGACCTTGAAGTGAAAAAATTCTTTAAGTAGACAGCCAGTGTAGTGTCTGGGACACAGCATGATTGGCTCATGTCAACGTGCGTTACTTAGCAGGATGGGCATTACATGTTGACCCAGCGGGAGCTTCAAGATCTTTCCTTAAATTCATAGCTACCATGCATTGCATTAGCCATGCCTAGAGGTTGCTGCCGCTAGGTTTGCATCTGTCCCAGTGAGACTCATCATCCTAATTAGCCACAGGTGTAAGAAAGCAATTCTAGCATCACTGGATAGTGGGGCATGGACCCAATAAAGTAGTGGTTCTCAAACTTTTGTACTGGTGACCCCTTTCACATAGCAAGCCTCCGAGTGCAACCCCCCGCCCTTATAAATTAAAAACACTTTTATATATTTAACACCATTATAAATGCTGGAGGCAAAGTGGAGTTGGAGTGGAGGTTGACAGCTCGCGACCCCCCATATAATAACCTCACGACCCCCTGAGGGGTCCCGACCCCCAGTTTGAGAACCCTGCAATAAAGGGTCTCTGGGTGGTTTACCACCTTGATGATCAGAGTGCAGACACAGGAAACAATATGATGAGGACTACTTCAACATGGAAGTCAAGATGATTATTGATCCCAACCCATCCAGTCACCCTGGGGATGAAGTTACTGTATAACCAACTTCAATCACTGGTGAAGTGAACAAAACATTTCATAGTGGGTCTAAACAGAGCCTGAGCTATACTCAAGGAAAAGCAGTGACAACCATATCTCCCAGAATCACAGCCACCATCTCTCAGGGTGTGCTGCAAGGCAAAGTTATTATTGCACGTAGGAGGGGGTAAATCACAGACATGAGCTGGAGACGAGATAAGGCTGCCCTACATAACCCCCAATATGGCCACGTTTCAAATAAGCATGAACAGCTCCAGACTCCATGATCCAGAAAGAAGGCTAGAGAAAGCACAAGTGACAGCGAGCAAATGTACCAGAAAGCTAGAGAATAAAGGTGCATGAGTAGAGGAAGCAAGGAAGCAAAATTTATGTAGTTAAAGAAAGAGAAGGCCAGAGGAGAGACATCAGTCTATAAATACCTTCAAGGTAACAATATAAATGAAGAGAGGGAATTATTCGCCGTCTCCTAAGAGGCTATTACCATACAAGGAGCAATAGCCTGGAGCCATTTACATAAAAAGTTCTTAACCATGAGAGCAAAGGAGCCCTAGAAGAGATGGTAGGAGATGAAGTCTCCATCACTGCTGAGAGCCAGGAATGAGCAGAGACCAAGCATCTGTGGGAATGATGTAGAGAAGAGTCCTGTGAGCGCTGCATGTGGGGAGGTGAGGAAATCAAACTGAATACCCCATGTGATGGGCTTGATTCCCTACGATTCTCTGCCCCCCCCCCACCCCACACACACACTTGTGCTAGCTACTCTACAAGAGCTACAGAAGGGGAGGAGAAAAAACCCAAACCAAACAACCACACGCTAGCATGTCAGTAACACAAAGAATTTGATCTTCATGCTTGTGTCTCTTTCAGAGCTTTCTGGAGAGGACTCGCACTGAGGAACGCTCGGCTCTCCCCACAGTGTTGGGGAGGAGGGGACACAGCCACCGCACAACAAACAGAGATGCCTTGTGCTTATTTAAGTCTCAACTCTTCCTGTCCCTGCAGCCTTGGCTCTCACACACAGTGCCCACAGAACCATTAATCCACTCCCCCTGCCTAGTCCAGTTTCACCCTCAGCAAGACACACACAAAAAATTGCTTCAAATGCTCTTTTTCTAGCCAGCAGGGGTAGGACCTACCAGCTGGCTTTGATTGCTAAGAACTTCCTTTAGCAACAAGTGCCATTCCACCTGGAGCCAAGACACCTGGAGAGGGCTCACTGACTCCATCAGGAGCCCATGCCTGGCATGCCAGTGCAGCACTAAGTCCAAAACACTGACAGTGAGGATCTGCGGAAATCTTTTCCCTAGGCTTTTTAGGATTCCATTGGGCTCTTGCCAGTCAAGCCTACAGCTGCACATTTTCAGTGCTTCAGACTCTGTACAAGTCCCTCAGGAACATATATAATCACCACACAAAAAACCCACACTGACCTCCCATTGGGATTCACAGCATGTACTCAATACTTTAAAGACTGATACATGGCTCTCCTCAAGGGACCCTTTGTGCTCACTAGAGCCGTGAAGGGTCCCCTCACCCAGCCCTTAGGGCAGGGGTGGGCCAACTACAGCCCAGGAGCCACATCCAGCCCTCCAGACGTTTTAATCCGGCCCTCGAGCTCCCGCTGGGGAGCAGGGTCTGGGGCTTGCCCCACTCCGCGTGGCTCCTGGAAGCAGCGGCATGTTTTCCCTTCAGCTCCTACGTGTAGAGGCAGCCAGAGGGCTCCGCACACTGCCCCACCCCAAGCACCGCCCCGGCTGCTCCCATTGGCTGGGAACTGCGGCCAATGGGAGCTGCAGGGCCAGCGTCTGCAGACAGGGCAGCGTGCAAAGCAGCCTGGCTGAGCCTCTGCCTAGGAGCCGTAGGGGGGACAGATGCTTCTGGGAGCTGCTTGAGGCAAGTGCTGCCCAGAGCCTGCACCCCTGACCCTGTCCCATGCCCCAACCCTGATCC